GACTTGATGTCGATTAAAGGTCGACAAAATAAAATAAATCATATCTATAATATTCCAACAGACTTCCTAACCTGATCACGTTCTATAATATTCCAACAGACTTCATAACCTGATCGCGTTCTATAACATTTCAACAGACTTCATGGCCTCATCACGTTCTATTCCAAAAGACTTCGTGACTCAATGACGATTAAAGGTCGACAAAATTTTTTAAAATTAAATCGACAATTTCTTGGGTATCAACCTGCAGTTAAACAAGGTACGAGAATAAGAAACTGGTTACAAGACAACAAAAAAGAATGTCTCACAAACAGAATCTCAAGCATGGGGATCGCTACTTTCGAAGGTCCGCCAAAAGGTGAATTCCAAAATTCATGAAGGTGACCTCCAATGGTCGATTATTCAGAAAAGGAAGATCATTTCATCCAAAAAACTATCAAGAGAAGGATGAGCGAGTATTGGGGGGGGGGGTGGGGGGGCGAGTTCTTCGATAAAGAAAGCTTAAGATATTCCTCTCTGTCACCAGCATACATATTTATTGTAAACAATAGAAAATGAAGATAGAGCACAGCTTTGCCCACGTGCGTCAATAGACTTAAGATTAACAATAGACCTGATGGGTCTCATAACGTAAATTAACTGACTAATGATAAGTAGGGAAGGGAGGCTAGTCGGGTTGGGTGGGGGGGGGCGCGATCGATTTCTTCAACCGATCGGTCAATGCGTTGGATTTCCACGAAATGAGAGAGAGAGAGAGAGAGAGAGAGAGAGAGAGAGAGAGAGAGAGCAATCAATCCGCTCAATCGTTTCCTTTTAAGCTTTAATTTACGATCGACTGGATGGGGACTCTTTGTATGCTATCATGGGGGAATGGTGTATACTATCATGGTGAATGTTGTATGCTATCATGGTAAATGTTGTATGCTATCATGGTGAATGTTGTATGATATCATGGTGAATTCTGTGTACTATCATGGTGAATGTTGTTAACTATCATGGTGAATGTTGTATACTATCTTGGTGAATCTTCTAGACTATCATGGGGAATCTTCTATACTATCATGGGTAATCTTCTAAACTATCATGGGGAATCTTCTATATTATCATGGGGAATCTTCTATACTAACACGGGGAACGTTGTAGACTGCAAGACCCACAGAGCTGCCTAACAACGAGACATCGATTACAAATGGGAATGTATAGATTATAGGCTGTATCGATTGGTCAAAATCTCTTGACTTGAATGAAGCCAATGTAAAACACAACGCTAAAATCAATGGACTGAGATGCGACTCAGGGGCGCTGTGCTGATAGAAGGGTTTTTTTCGTCTTTAAACGCAACACAACAGAAAATGTTGGCACAAAGCAGCGTTCGCCCCCCCCCCTCCCCCACACGGCCCACCATAAAAATATTTTAACGTAACAACTTATAAAGCGCCTGTATCCGCGTCTCACCCACACCGTGTTTGAAAATGTCAATATTTTTATAAGGTTTGCGTGAACAGCGGTTATTGGCAGCCCACCCACCCACTAACCGGCTGGTTATAGTTGTACTTACTTTGTCTAATAACACAACGCTGGGCGCACGGAAACTAGACGTTAAACGGGAAATTACAGAGCTTATTGAGCTCCAAGTGGCAGTTATTTCTTTTTTACAACTGATGTTATATCTATTTTTATTGATGTTATATTTTTTTTATTGATGTTATATTTATTTTATTGATGTTATATTCATTTTATTGATGTTATATTCATTTTATTGATGTTATATTTATTTTATTGATGTTATATTCATTTTATTGATGTTATATTTATTTTATGGATGTTATATTTATTTTATTGATGTTATATTTATTTTATTGATGTTATATTTATTTTATTGATGTTATATTCATTTTATTGATGTTATATTCATTTTATTGATGTTATATTTATTTTTTGATGTTATATTCATTTTATTGATGTTATATTCATTTTATTGATGTTATATTCATTTTATTGATGTTATATTCATTTTATTGATGTTATATTCATTTTATTGATGTTATATTCATTTTATTGATGTTATATTTATTTTATTGATGTTATATTCCTTTTATTGATTTTATATTTATTTTATTGATGTTATATTTATTTTATTGATGTTATATTTATTTTATTGATGTTATATTTATTTATTGATGTTATATTCCTTTTATTGATGTTATAATTATTTTATTGATGTTATATTCCTTTTATTGATGTTATATTTATTTTATTGATGTTATGTTTATTTTATTGATGTTATGTTTATTTTATTGATGTTACATTTATTTTATTGATGTTATATTTATTTTATTGATGTTACATTTATTTTATTGATGTTATATTTATTTTATTGATGTTATGTTTATTTTATTGATGTTATATTTATTTTATTGATGTTATATTTAGTTTATTGATGTTATATTCCTTTTATTGATGTTATATTTATTTTATTGATGTTATATTCCTTTTATGATGTTATGTTTATTTTATTGATGTTATGTTTATTTTATTGATGTTACATTTATTTTATTGATGTTATATTTATTTTATTGATGTTATATTCCTTTTATTGATGTTATATTTATTTTATTGATGTTATTTTTATTTTATTGATGTTATGTTTATTTTATTGATGTTATATTTATTTTATTGATGTTATATTTATTTTATTGATGTTATATTTATTTTATTGATGTTATAATTATTTTATTGATGTTATATTTATTTTATTGATGTTATATTCCTTTTATTGATGTTATATTTATTTTATTGATGTTATATTCCTTTTATTGATGTTATATTTATTTTATTGATGTTATGTTTATTTTATTGATGTTATATTTATTTTATTGATGTTATGTATGGAAAATATGGAAAGTCCCCCCAAAAAGTCAATAATTTAAAATAAAAAAATCATTTCATTATTTAAGGGTAAAAAGTAAAGAGTACACAAGAATCATTCGCAAACTAATTACCAACGTAGCTTACGAAAAATGGTCTTTATAATTTCTTTAGATCCGCCAGTAACACAATAAAGTTATGGAAATACCTCAAATATTTTGTAGCAATTCAATTTGGGGAAAGTTGCAACGTAGTTTTGGTACCGCCTCAAAGAAAGAAACATAAAACAAAGGTGGGCGGGCGGGGCAGAGGAGTAGCGAGGGTGCTTGGCGTCCGGGGACAAGATTCGCGCCCGGGGACAAGATCCATTTTAAAGCACCCCTTTTTGTTTTTTTCAACTCTGAAGCCCATTATTTTTATCAATAAAATAATATCAAAGCACATTTTGGCGCCCCTGACTAACTGGCGCCCTGGGACATCTGTCCCCCCTGCACCCCCCTCGCTACGCCTCTGGGGCGGGGGATAAACCAAAGAAAGTCGCCCTTATGACAAACATTTAATGCGGCCATGTTGTAATGTATATGGATTATAAATAAAGTATTTCTGCGCGTGCGGGTTTACGCATAGACGGGGAAAAAATGTCCCCTATAATCTTGGATTATTTAAATACCAACTTTTGTTCCCGCTCATTGTCTCAGAACTGTATTGGCGGCACAATAAAAAAAAAACGGGAAAG